ACCCATGGTCAGCCATGTGGAAATCCAGTGCCTTAACCACCACACCTCCTGCGGGCCAGGGCAAGATCTTAGGCAGAGTCGCTGTCTGTAAGTTTTGCCTGTTATGGTCTCCTTACTCCTCTAATGAACCCAACAGAACTCATAAGGACCCTACCCTACCCTAGGACTTCACCATAACAAAGGCCCCACCCTGGGACAGCAAGAACAGTTTAGGTTTCCACTTAACACCTTTACAAGACAACTAAACCCCAACACAGAAAACAGTGTAACATTTTGCAATATCCAAACTACAACACAGGGCTTGTGGGCACCACTGGTGAGAAATCCAGGGAGTAAGAGGAAAAAGGGAGCTTGTCAGAGGAGACAGAGCCAGCTCATGGGAGGCTACAGAGGGACGAAATGAAGACTCCAGGACCCCTTGGCCTGGGGCCTTACTGACCAGTCTCAGCTGCATAGGGGATGGGTGCGATCGCTTACAGTTAACACTCTATGCCAACCAACACTTACCGAGCTCTTTCTGTGTCCTGGGCCTTGCCATCAACACACATGTGGACTTATTTAACCCTCCCAACAATCCCATGAGGCAGGCGCTGCTCGTATTGTGATTCTCATTTCAGAGGTGAGGAAACTGAGGCACACTAATAGTCAGGGAGCCGCAGGTCCAGGATTCCAGGCCGGGCTGTCTGGCTCAAGTCCATGCAATTCTCCACTATGTTTTGTGGCTTCTACTCATTTACAGAATCCTGAAGCTTAAAAGTACTTTTTTAAAATGTCAGAATGGCCTCTATGATTCCACATCCTGCCACTGCCTTCCAACAAGCTTTCATCAGTGGGGCAGGCAGAGTGACCTTACAACCAGCATGGGGAGTTTGCTTTATTCTGCGTCTGCCCCTATATTTGTATACTGGAAATGTCACCCACGATGCAAGAGACAATTCTTTTTTTTGGAGAGAGAATTTTGCTATAGGGCATGTGCATTCACCAGAGAGACAGAGAGAAATAGAAAGCGAGAAATCACCCCTCTCCCCGGGGAGGGGATAGGCACACTGTAACACCTTCTCCTCTATTCTCCTCTTGGGATTTTGGGCACGTGTGCACACAAACACACACACACTTCTGGCATGAGTTTTAAGCTGTCGAGTCTGAGACGCAAACCATGGTTGACTATGTGGGAGTCCAGCAACTTAACCATTACGCCATCTGTTGGTACCAAGAGACTACTCTTAACCAAAGTCTAGGTCTTGTTTTTCCTGGGCACGGAGCTAGTCTACCACTCTCAGACTACCTTATCATGAAGCATAGCAAGATGACGAGCTGTAGGATGTGAATGGAAGTGAGGTGCAACACTCCCAGACTCCAAGGAGGCACGGGCGCTGTCTCCACAGACTCTGCCTTCCCCCTTCTTTCTTTCCCTTTCTATCTGCCAAACACACAGGTCACGGAGCTGTATGGGATGACAAAGCCACAAAATGGGTAGGGCCTGGGTCACCAAATTGAGATGGATCCAACTAGGAGGACCCACCAACTCAGAACACCAACCTTGGACTCGTGAACAAACACCTGTGCGGAATTGGAGTCAGTATATATTTTGGACTTACTACCTTCAGCCTAGCCTACTTTTTTGTACAGGACATGTGCACTGGCCAGACAGAAAGACAAGAGACAGAAAGCAAGAAATCCACCCCCTCTTCCCCCCCACACACAAGGTGGTATGGCTATGCTGTAATCTCTTCTCCTCCATTCTCCTTTTGGGATTTTGGACACACACACACATGCACCTGGTGAGAGTTTTAAGCTGCCAGGTCTGAGACACAAACCATGTTTGACTACATGGGAGTCCAGCAACATAAACTTTACCCCATCAGCTGGTCCCACAACCTAGTCTACTTGAACACACCATTTTCCTTCCTTATGGTCAAAGGTTGCTTTCAAGAACAGTAACAATCTATGAAAGGGCTTGTGGAAACTTATTATTTCCCAGTGGTCCCACATTTAAACAGCCACAACCCACTTCTCCTCCACCCCACGTCGTGTTCCCAGGGCAAGGACAGAGGAGGTTACTTCATGAAGAAACCCATGCATGCATTACATTACCACATCTGTTTCCTTCAAGAGAGGTCCCGTTTCTCTTGGGGCTGGATGCCGGGGCCCTCAGCCCAGGTGCCAAGGGGCTTCCAGAAGACATGGAGCTGGTGTGAGGACTGCCAGTGCTAGTGGCAGGCCCTCCCCCGAGGTGGCTGTCTCCAGAGTTTTGCCTCTTGCAGTACAATGAGGAGGAGAGGAGCAAGGAACTCCTGTGGTTGAAGGCAGAGGTGGAGGGATCCATGCCGTAGCGGTTCATGCCCACGGGGCTCACCAGGCACTCTTCGGTAGGGACTATCTTGGCTAAGCAAAAAGGCAGTACAGAGAAGCAGAGATCAGAGGGCATCATGGTAACCTCTATCTGTGAAGATGGGTGATAAGACAAGATGTATTCTACAGCCTACTTCCAAATGGCACACCTGTCAGCAGACTGAGACATCTGCATTTCTTTTTTTTTTCTTTTTTTGGAGAGGTTTTTTGCTATCGGGCACGTGCACTCGCCAGACAGACAGAGACAGAGAGATAGAAAGCGAGAAATCACCCCCCAGGGGGAATGGCCACGCCGCAATCCCTTCTCTTCCATTCTCCTCTTGGGATCTTGGGTACGCACGCACACGTGCCCGGCGTGAGTTTTAAGCCACCGGGTCCGGGACTTGAACCGCAGTCGACTACGTGGGAGTCCAGCGACATAGCCATTACGCTAACTGCTGGTCCCAGAAGACTTATTGTTAAGGTAGCAATACTCCCCAAATTGATCTACAGATTCAGCAAAATCCTTGTCAGAATCTTGATTAATTTCTTCACAGAAATTAACAAGCTAATTCTAAAATTCATATGAAACTGCATGGGACACACAATAGCCAAAAGAATCATTAAAAAGAAAAACAAAGTAAGGGGACTTACTTCCTGATTTCAAAATTTACCACATAGCAACAGTACTAAGACAGTGTGATACCAGCATAAGAACTAACATACAAACCAATGGAATACATTGGAAAGTCCAAAAATATCTGCATTCAACTGATTTTCAACAATGATCCTAAAACCATTCGATGAGGGAAAGAACAGTCTTTTCAACAAATAGTAGAGGAATAACTGAAAATACACATGCAAAAGAATGAATCTAGACCCATCCTTCACAACATATACAAAATTAACTCAAATGAGTCAAAAACAAAAATATAAGAGCAAAAACTTTGAAGTTCTTACAAGGAAACATGGAGGTAAACTTTATGACCTTGGATTTGGAAAAGTATTCTTAGATTTGACACCAGAAACAGAAGCAATAAAAGGAAAATTAGATAAATTGGGGTTCCTCAAAGTTAAAAACTTCTGTGTTTCAAAAAAAAAAAAATCAAGAAGGCAAAATGTCAACTCGGAAACTGGGAGAAAATAGTTGCAAAGTACATCTGATAAGGGACTTGTTCTAGAATATATTAAGAATTGTAACAACTCAATAATAAAAAGATAAGCATATTTAAGAATGGACAAAGAAAAAAGAATGGCCAAAAAGCATTTGATGCAAGATGCCTGACTTCATTAATCAAATCAAATCAAAACTAAAATGAGGCACCACTTTATACTCATCAGGATGATCAGGATTAAAAAAAAGTCAGATGATAACAAGTGTTCGTGATGCTATAGAGAAATTGGAACTCTCAAACACTGTTGGTCACAATATAAATGGTGCAGCCACTTTATAAAACAGTCTGGCAGTTCCTCAGATAGTTAAAGTAGAATTACCATTTGCACCAATAATTGCAATCCCCCCCCCTTTTTTTTTTGGCCAGAGAAAGAGAGAGAGGAAAAGTGAAAAATCAACCCCCAGCGTGGATGGCCACAATGCAATGCTTTCCCCTCCATTCTCCTCAGAGTTTTGGGCACACATGCCCAGTGTGTTTTTTAAGCTGCCAGGATGTACGTGAGTATTCATAGCAGCATATTCATAACAGCCAAAGGTGGAAATGGCCCAAGTGACTATCAACTGATAAATGTATTTAAAGTGTGTTATATTCACAAAATGCAATATTATTTGAACATGAAAATTAATGGCAGTACTAATACATTCTACAGCATGAATGAGCCCTGAAACATGCTAAAGAAGCCAGTCACAAAAGACCACATAGTAAATTGTTCCATTTATGAGACCAGCATATGGCATAATGGTTGCATTGCTGGACTCCCACATATTTGACCATGGTTCAAATCCCAGACCCAGAGGCTTAAAACTCACATGGGGCTCATGTGTATGCATGCCCAAAATCCTGAGAGGAGAATGGAGAAGGGATTGGAGTGGCCATCCCCCCTGGGGGTTCTCTCTCTCTTTCTGTCGCTCTGTTTCTCTGGCCAGCACACATACTCTATAACAAAAATCTCTCTTAAAAATAAAAACTATTCCATTTATATAAATAACCCAAGATAGCAATCCTTTTTGTATCCCGAATGACAAGACCTTTGATACCTGTGGGGAAGCGACACAGTGTCTGGTATGGTGCTTGGCATAAAGGAAGCACCCAATAAATACTTATTTAATAAACATTTGGGCCAGTGTTAACAGTAAGGCTACCATTACATGAAAGATGTATTAAAATTCATATTCTAAAGGTACATAAGAATTCTCCATATAAGGCTGGCCCATAGCATAGTAGTGAAGTGCTGCACAGATGAAGCCCAGATCCCATATGGCCTACCAGAGTTTGAGCCCTGGCCCTAGAGGGTTGAGAAACATAGTGGGTATGCACACACGTGCTCAGGATCCTGATGAGCTAGAGAACTGGAGGAGAAGAACTATAGTGTGATCAGGCCCTTTTAGGTGTGCTTCTCTCTCTTTCTCTCTCTCCTTTCTCATGCACATATAGATCTCTGGCATTAAAAAAAAATTGTCCTGTAGATCTGTGATAAATTAAAAAAAAAAAAAAGGCCAGCTGAGGTGGTACTGTGGTAATGCGACACACTGTGATGCTAAGGCCATATAGAAGGTTCCAGGTTCACATCCTGAGGTCTCCCTGTGCATGCAGGGTGTGTGTACACATCCTGGCTGGCTGAGGCTGGTGGCAGGATTGCAGACTCTGGAGGTGCCTCTCTCTTTTTCTTTTTCTCTCTGTCTGTCTCACTCTCTCATGGAAGAAATAAACTTTTTTAAGCATGAAAGATTTAACAAAGACATTTATTCTGTTCATTAAAGATTTTAAATCGAATGAAATATGCCTATATAATCCTGATCGTCTAAGGTAGAGGATGCAGACAACTCACTCATCTGTACTGTAGTGGGAAGCACAGATACAGATGGAAGATTATTCTCCTGTGACGAAGTGCAGGAACGGGGAGCCAAGGGGACATGCACTTTATTGGTTTAAAAACTGCTGATGATCACGGGTGAGATCAAAGGTAATAAAAGCCAGCCTCTGGGCTATGATCCAAATGAATTAATCAGAAAGTAATAACCGACTTCGGAGAGCATCAAGCAATGGCTCTCTGCTCAGCAAAGGATGAGCCAGTGATTCCGAGGTCTGCTCAGGTGCACAGCCATTGAGCCAAACCACGACGCCCCAAGTGCGGCCCTGTGCAGTGGTTCCTGGGGAGACTGCGAGTGGACAACATGTCGAGATACACGTACTGTGGCAGCTCTCAGACTTGATGAGGCAGGGCAGGGAAAACCCGATTAAAACAGCCTTTTCCTCATTTTTAGGGGTATGGACACTCATATCATAACTAAGGATAAAAATGACTGACCCAACATGGCCATCATGGTTCAACTACGAGACTGAAAGGAACTTCACAATGGGAGTTCCCCTACACTGGGAGCACCCAGCCCAGCATTTCCCCAAGGGTTGGATCTGACCCTTTGGTAGGACAGGGGATGACTTTGGGTGACACATGGCTGCTAACATTTGTTTCTTAGGGCTGCGGAAATTACCACAAAGCGGGTGGCTTAAGACAACGAAGATTTATCCCATTCGAGTTTTGGAGGCTACAGTCTGAAATCAAGGTGGCTCAGGGCCATGCTCCCTCACAAGGCCCCAGGGAGGAGGCTCTTTCCTGGCTTCTTCCTAGCTTCTGATGGCTGCCAACAATGCTCGCTGTTCCTTGGCTGCAAACACATCACTCTGATCTTTGCCTCGGTCACGGTGCTCTCCCTGTGTGCCTGTCTGTCTCCAAATTTCTTTCTCCTTCTAAGGACACCACTCACTGGGCTGGGGGACATCCTTATCGAGCATGGAACTTAAACTTGGAACTTGAACTCATCTGCAAAAAGCCTTTTTCTAAAGAAGGTCCCATTCACAGGAACCAGGGATCAGGATTTGAACACATATCTTTTTGGAGGACAGAGTTCCAACCTGTGAGAAGTAAACACTATTTTTTTATAGTCATATATGTTAATATATTTTGACAAAATATAATGAATATCTAAATTATTTCACTGATACTATGCCATTGTTTAAGCTGACTAAAGGCTGAAGTTAAGACTGGATTAAAGTTAAATAAATCAATTTAAAGCAGACTTTCAGTAAACAGTTCTACAGGCCTTACTCAGACAGTACAAACCGTGAAGGAGTTCCATTGACTTTTGGCATGGACTGAACTAGCCACAACCCCTCTCTTCAGACAGGGTGGTGTCCAGAGAGGAAGCTAAGGTGGATAATAAGCCTCTTATTTAAAACCTTCCCAAAAATGGTTTATAATTGCGCTCACAGTTAGACCTCGGTGCTACAAATCTCACTGCCCGAAAGTTCTTGCTCACTTCTAACCCCAGTCCTCTTTGCTTCAGTGAAATGACTGCTGGGTATGTACCTTTGACACTCTTCAAAATCAGTAAGTCATCCAACAAACAGGTAGATGAACTAAAAGCACAGTTTCTAGTAGCTTGAGAATGTAATTGAGCTGTGACATACGTTTATTACCTACGTCTACTATATAGAGTTGGTAAGAAGAAAGAACGAAATCCGTATTAGGAGAGAGAACCATACCTGCAAGCAGTTTTGCGGCTGACCAATGAGTAAACCCCAGGTGGGGCCAGCAGGCCTGAGATCATTGGCCCCAGGGCCCTGGCAGGATCTAACTTCCACACACAGACCCCAGGCAAACCACCAGACAGACAGGTAAAGGTCATTTCCTCCTAGCCCTTATAACATACGTTTTCATCTGAAATAAGCTGTCTTGTCACCTGGCACCTCTCATGAGCAAGAGGATCCAACCCAGTCTCTATCTGAGGCCATTGAATTGCTGTGGAGAACACTAAATAAAGAATGCAGGGGGGACGGCAGGTGGCATAGTAGATAAGGCTCTGGACTCCAGCATGGTCA